CACTTGCACTTCAACCATCCCCTCACTTCCACCAACCCCCCACTTGCACTTCAACCATCCCCTCACTTCCACCAACCCCCCACTTGCACTTCAACCATCCCCTCACTTCCACCAACCCCCCACTTGCACTTCAACCATCCCCTCACTTCCACCAACCCCCCACTTGCACTTCAACCATCCCCTCACTTCCACCAACCCCCCACTTGCACTTCAACCATCCCCTCACTTCCACCAACCCCCCACTTGCACTTCAACCATCCCCTCACTTCCACCAACCCCCCACTTGCACTTCAACCATCCCCTCACTTCCACCAACCCCCACTTGCACTTCAACCATCCCCTCACTTCCACCCCCCCACTTGCACTTCAACCATCCCCTCACTTCCACCAACCCCCCACTTGCACTTCAACCATCCCCTCACTTCCACCAACCCCCCACTTGCACTTCAACCATCCCCTCACTTCCACCAACCCCCCACTTGCACTTCAACCATCCCCTCACTTCCACCAACCCCCCACTTGCACTTCAACCATCCCCTCACTTCCACCAACCCCCCACTTGCACTTCAACCATCCCCTCACTTCCACCAACCCCCCACTTGCACTTCAACCATCCCCTCACTTCCACCAACCCCCCACTTGCACTTCAACCATCCCCTCACTTCCACCAACCCCCCACTTGCACTTCAACCATCCCCTCACTTCCACCAACCCCCCACTTGCACTTCAACCATCCCCTCACTTCCACCAACCCCCCACTTGCACTTCAACCATCCCCTCACTTCCACCAACCCCCCACTTGCACTTCAACCATCCCCTCACTTCCACCAACCCCCCACTTGCACTTCAACCATCCCCTCACTTCCACCAACCCCCCACTTGCACTTCAACCATCCCCTCACTTCCACCAACCCCCCACTTGCACTTCAACCATCCCCTCACTTCCACCAACCCCCACTTGCACTTCAACCATCCCCTCACTTCCACCAACCCCCCACTTGCACTTCAACCATCCCCTCACTTCCACCAACCCCCCACTTGCACTTCAACCATCCCCTCACTTCCACCAACCCCCCCACTTGCACTTCCACCATCCCCTCACTTCCACCAACCCCCCACTTGCACTTCCACCATCCCCTCACTTCCACCAACCCCCCACTTGCACTTCAACCATCCCCTCACTTCCACCAACCCCCCACTTGCACTTCCACCAACCCCCCACTTGCACTTCCACCATCCCCTCACTTCCACCAACCCCCCACTTGCACTTCCACCATCCCCTCACTCCACCAACCCTCCACTTGCACTTCAACCATCCCCTCACTTCCACCAACCCCCCACTTGCACTTCCACCATCCCCTCACTTCCACCAACCCCCCACTTGCACTTCCACCATCCCCTCACTTCCACCAACCCCCCACTTGCACTTCAACCATCCCCTCACTTCCACCAACCCCCCACTTGCACTTCAACCATCCCCTCACTTCCACCAACCCCCCACTTGCACTTCAACCATCCCCTCACTTCCACCAACTCCCCACTTGCATTTCCACCATCCCCTCACTTCCACCAACCCCCCACTTGCACTTCAACCATCCCCTCACTTCCACCAACCCCCCACTTGCACTTCAACCATCCCCTCACTTCCACCAACCCCCCCTTGCACTTCAACCATCCCCTCACTTCCACCAACCCCCCACTTGCACTTCAACCATCCCCTCACTTCCACCAACCCCCCACTTGCACTTCAACCATCCCCTCACTTCCACCAACCCCCCACTTGCACTTCAACCATCCCCTCACTTCCACCAACCCCCCACTTGCACTTCAACCATCCCCTCACTTCCACCAACCCCCCACTTGCACTTCAACCATCCCCTCACTTCCACCAACCCCCCACTTGCACTTCAACCATCCCCTCACTTCCACCAACCCCCCACTTGCACTTCAACCATCCCCTCACTTCCACCAACCCCCACTTGCACTTCAACCATCCCCTCACTTCCACCAACCCCCCACTTGCACTTCAACCATCCCCTCACTTCCACCAACCCCCCACTTGCACTTCAACCATCCCCTCACTTCCACCAACCCCCCACTTGCACTTCAACCATCCCCTCACTTCCACCAACCCCCCACTTGCACTTCAACCATCCCCTCACTTCCACCAACCCCCCACTTGCACTTCAACCATCCCCTCACTTCCACCAACCCCCCACTTGCACTTCAACCATCCCCTCACTTCCACCAACCCCCCACTTGCACTTCAACCATCCCCTCACTTCCACCAACCCCCCACTTGCACTTCAACCATCCCCTCACTTCCACCAACCCCCCACTTGCACTTCAACCATCCCCTCACTTCCACCAACCCCCCACTTGCACTTCCACCATCCCCTCACTTCCACCAACCCCCACTTGCACTTCCACCATCCCCTCACTTCCACCAACCCCCCACTTGCACTTCAACCATCCCCTCACTTCCACCAACCCCCCACTTGCACTTCCACCAACCCCCCACTTGCACTTCCACCATCCCCTCACTTCCACCAACCCCCCACTTGCACTTCCACCATCCCCTCACTTCCACCAACCCTCCACTTGCACTTCAACCATCCCCTCACTTCCACCAACCCCCACTTGCACTTCCACCATCCCCTCACTTCCACCAACCCCCCACTTGCACTTCCACCATCCCCTCACTTCCACCAACCCCCCACTTGCCCTTCAACCATCCCCTCACTTCCACCAACCCCCCACTTGCACTTCAACCATCCCCTCACTTCCACCAACCCCCCACTTGCACTTCCACCATCCCCTCACTTCCACCAACCCCCCACTTGCACTTCCACCATCCCCTCACTTCCACCAACCCCCCACTTGCACTTCCACCATCCCCTCACTTCCACCATCCCCTCACTTCCACCAACCCCCCACTTGCCTTCCACCACCCCCCCCACCACCCCCCACTTGCACCTCCCCCCCCCCCCCCCCACTTCCACCATCCCCTCACTTCCACCAACCCTCCACTTGCACTTCAACCATCCCCTCACTTCCACCAACCCCCCACTTGCACTTCCACCATCCCCTCACTTCCACCAACCCCCCACTTGCACTTCCACCATCCCCTCACTTCCACCAACCCCCCACTTGCCCTTCAACCATCCCCTCACTTCCACAACCCCCCACTTGCACTTCAACCATCCCCTCACTTCCACCAACCCCCCACTTGCACTTCAACCATCCCCTCACTTCCACCAACCCCCCACTTGCACTTCCACCATCCCCTCACTTCCACCAACCCCCCACTTGCACTTCCACCATCCCCTCACTTCCACCATCCCCTCACTTCCACCATCCCCTCACTTCCACCATCCCCTCACTTCCACCATCCCCTCACTTCCACCATCCCCTCACTTCCACCATCCCCTCACTTCCACCATCCCCTCACTTCCACCATCCCCTCACTTCCACCATCCCCTCACTTCCACCATCCCCTCACTTCCACCATCCCCTCGTGCACACCATGCGCATCTGTGCCACATGCAGTGCGCTCACACCCCTTCGTGACGCGCACACCACCACCCAGGTAACGTCTGGTTCACTTCAGATTCCCACCGCATGCCATGTGCCACACCAGATTCCCTTCCGTCCCTCCCTTTTCCCCTGTGCGTCTTCCCCCCCACTTCCTCCTGCGTGGCCCACAGCCCCCTTGGGCCAGCTCGTCCAGTCTCTTGCTGCTGCTGCCACCCACCACGCACAGCCCAGCCACGAGCACCAGCCCAGCACCAGGGATGTGCACATCTCGCCATGGACCCAGGCATGCGTTCTTGCCTTAAAGAACCATTGTGCTCTCGCCTTTCACCAATTCATTCCCTGTATAGCACGCCCCTTTGCTATCGCGCACCTCCCTCGCGCTCCTGGTCACCCGTGCTGCACGCCTCTCACTCCGTCCATCCACTCTGTTCCCCACGCAGGTGTATTCCTTCTCCGGCTGCTGCTCTCTCCCCCCGGACACCTTTCGCTCATCGTCGCTATCACTCACCCACCATGCAACGCCAGGCCCCATCCCACCATGCACATTCTCCTGCCCGCCTCTATCCCCCACAGCCTCCTCCACTCCTTCCACTCAACACCCCGACCCGCACCTCTCCCCTCACACCCCGCCCACACGTGCCTCTCAGCATCTCCTCCCCCTCCCGCCGGCCCCTCTGCTCACTCACCTGGACGTCTCACACTGCTCGTTGCTGCAGCCCTCGCATCTCCGTGCATGGGCAGCAGCGGTGCATCTACCGCTGTCACTGCACCGTCTCACCGCCCGCTCCTGCCCCGCCCTGCTCCCCATCACCACCCTCCACGACCTTTCCTCCTTCTGCCCGGAGCTTCAGTCGGCAGATTTTTCCCTGCCCGAGCCTCCGGTGTTTTGCAGAGGTGTTGGGGGGTCAGGAGGGGGTGCTGCTGCTCTGCCTGGCGCTGGTGCTGGCACTGGTGCTAGTGTTGCGGATGGGGATGGGGATGGGGATAAGAACAGCAAGGCTGGCAGCAAGAAGGCACACAAGGGTGCTCGCGCTGCCAGCGTCACAGGCACGAGTAGTAAGAAGAAGCAGGCCGGTCCGTGCGCTACCAATGCAGTGGCTCCTAGTGGACTCAAGGGACGGCATGGCAGGAGTGCAGGGCAGGGCAGACGAGCAGCACACCAGGCAGCGGACAGGCGGGTGGATGGAGGTGGAGAGGAGGAGCAGGAGCAGGAGGAGGAAGAAGAAGAGCAGCAAGGGGAAGGGGATGCGGAGGAGGGCAGGGGCGAGGAAGGCGTGGGGGAGACGGCGAGCATGCTGGTGCCGCTGCACCGCCTGTACAACCCGTGGACGCTCGCCCATGTCACCTCACTCTCTCTGCGCTGGCACCAGCACCTCTCAGGTACTCCCTCTGTCTCGCCTTGTCTTCACATGCGTTCACACACTCCCAAGGCCAGTGGGTGTATTGTGACGAGCGCCGCTGCTATGTGCATTGTGCTCCACAGCCATTGCAAGCTGCACTCACGCCCAAAACTGCTGCTGCTTCTCCCCGTCCTCTTCCCCATGCGTGCACATGTGCCCATTAACTGCCCACGTGCAGACGGGCAGCTGATGGACGTGGTGCTGGCCTGCCCCGCCCTCACCCACATGGACATCACGGGGTGCACCGCGCTCTCCGACCGTGCCCTCGCCGCCCTCATCTCCTCCTACACGCGCCCCCCTCCCGCCCCCACCTCGCACACCGCTCCCACTGTGACATCCGCACGGCAGCAAAAGGGTGGCCATTCGAGCACCCGTTCTCACTGCTCCGCGCGCCCGTCCCCCAGGCACTCAGGTCCTTATATTGGTGAACTCCCCCGGTGCCGCCTGCAGCTGTCCCACCTGTGCGCATCCCACACTCACCTTGGCGTGCGCTCCCTGCTTGCGCTCTCCCGTGCTCTCACGGCCGCTGGTGGGGCAAGGGGGAGCGTGGATGATGGTGATTGTGGTGAGGAAGAAGAGGAGGTAGGAGAAGAGAAGGAGGAAGAGGAGGAGGTGGGCGAGGATGAGAGTGAGGTTGAGGATGACAAGGAGGAGGAGGAGGAAGATGAAGAAGAAGATGGAGCGAGTGAGGGACATGAGACGGGAGACGAGGAGGGCGTGGAGGAAGAGAGAAGGGAGGGCAGTGGGGTGGGCGGCACCTTCGGTGGGCTCAGGAAGCTGGAGCTGGATGCATGCCCGGGTGAGTCACTGCCTTGTAGTCTGCTCCTACGCTTGTCTCTCATGTTTGTTTCCTGCAACCACACACTCGATTCTTCCCACTGCTCATCCCTGTGTGGCCCCCATCCCTCTCCCCTCGCCTCTGCTGTACCTCCCTTCCATCCTTGTGGCACACCCCATCCCATCCCCAAGCAGCTCTGCACCACGCCCTCCCTCTCCTGCACATGCTCACAGCGGCCAGCCCCTCCCTCACGCACCTCTCGCTCGCTCACACCCTTGCACCTGGCCACATGGGGGCAGCAGCGGCGCCTAGGGGCAAAGGGAGGGGCAAGGAGGCGTATGGGGGGTCAAGAATGGGCGAGGGGTGTGCGGGTGCCGTGGATGATGCGCTCGTGTCGTCGTGGCTGCACGGCGCTCGCTCCCTCGCCACACAGGACATGCCCTGCACCAGCAGCAGCAACAGCTGCAGCAGCGATGGCACTGTGGCGCTGCCGCACTTGACTCATCTGAATGTCTCCGATGCCCCTGTCAGTCCCTCCCACATGCCATGCCGCTGCCCTCACTATGACGCATCATCATGCTGGCGTCATCTTAGCTCCCTGCTACTTTGCCCCATGCCTTGTCTCTCTCTACCTTAGTCGTTGCCCTTTCCCACCTTTCTGCTTCTCCACTCTACTCTCCTTTCCTTTCAGAATCCAATGCCACTTTCTCACAACTTCTTAACTCCTCCCGTCCGCCACCACCCCTCATACCACCCCTCCCCCTCTGCGCCCTGGCAGCTGTCACCGAGTGCCATCACTGCCCTGTGTGCATCAGCGCCTCGCCTGCGTCACCTCCTCATCTCCGGATGTGGCAAGCCCGCTCCTCCACGGCCCCCCTCCTCCTCCGCGCCTTCCTCGCCGCACATCACCACCATCACCATCGCCCCACGCCTCACCATCGCCCCACGCCTCACCACTCTCCACGCCTCCTGGGCCCTTCCCCTCTCCCTCTCCATCCCCCCGCGCCCCCTCAACCCGCCCACAAGTCCCTTTGCTGTGTGCCCATCTCTACCACAACCACCGCCACCGCTCTTCCCACTATCACACACCCTGCGTGCACTGGCCCTGGGGCTGGGCGCCACAATCTCCGATGCCTCGCTGCGTGCCATTGCTGCCTGCTGCCCACGCCTTACTGCACTCTCACTCAGCTTCCAGGTGACGCCCACTCACATGTCTCTGTGTGTGTGTGTGTCTGCATTGCATGCACGTCACATGCTACTCCCGTCCCTCTCCACCGTGCTTCCCAATAGCAAGTTCCTAGCCGTTCACATTCTCACCCACACGGCATGCTCTCAGGTTCTTCATCCCCTGCTGTCATCCCCTTGGATTCCGTTTTTTCTCCTCCCATCGCCCCGGTCTCTCATTTCCCTCTCCCACCACCCCAACCCCCATGTCATGCCATACCCCCATGCCAGCCGGTGTCAGATGACGGTCTTCTGCCTCTCCTCGCTGCCTGCCCACTCCGCCACCTCTCCCTGCTGCACTGCTGGGGCCCCTTCTCCCCCGCGCTCTTCTCTCCACAGCTCCCCATCGCACAAGCATCACTAGGCACATGCACGCACCATGGCCACACTCACTCCCATGCCCATAGCCATCGCCCCCCAGGGCTTGCCCATGCCGCCACCCTGCCACGCCTCACATCTCTCTCCCTGGGGGGTGGCTTTGCCTGGCTTTCCGCGCTTCACCTCACTGCCCTCGCCTCCGCTGCTCCTCTTCTGCGCTCCCTCTCTCTCTCCTCCTGCCCATCCCTCTCCCAAGGTACGTGCCTCTGCTGTGCCCCCGTCCCCTCCGTCTGTGTTGCAAGTTTCGTCCCTGTCTCACTGGAACCTCACATTCGGCTCTCCCTGTATCCTCCTTTCCCTAATCTCTTCCTCCATTTCTCTCCCTCGTCCTGTCACCATCAGACGCGCCCCTCATTCTCGCCAACTCCTTTCCAGCACTCACCTCACTCACGCTCACTGTAAGCCCGGCTCATCTCAAGACTCACACCACACACGCCGTGTGCAGGGGGGCCACCATGCACTGCATTCACACCGTTTCCTTTGCTTGTGTTGGTCGGCCTCACACCATCCACCTACCAGCACTGCTCTACTCTTCTCTCCTGCTAGTCGCCTCTCTCCCCAACCATCCGCCACGTTCCACTGTGTTCTCCGTCCCTCTCACTCTGCATCCCCCATCCCACTGCCCCTGTTCTCTCCCCTTCTCACCTCGTCAGGAGTGCTCCAACCTCTTCAGCGTGCATGCGCCAGCATCCCTCTTGGCCCTCAGCGCCCTCTCCGCGCTGCACCTGCGCCACACTGTATGCGCCTCTGGGGGGGCACTGCCTCACCCCCCTCCTCCCCTCTGCACCTCACCCTGCTGCTCTCTTCTGCATGCCGCTGTGCCTTCCTCTATTATGTCACGCTCGCTCCTTCTATCTCCTTCCGCCCCCCTGCATCATTCTCTCGTCTCTACCCTCCACTTCTCTCTGCCCGGCCTGCATCCCTCATGCCTCTCTTTCTCTCCACCCCAACATGTCCCCTGTCACCACTCCTGTGCCATGTGCCGCGTGTGTCTGCCGGCCTCTGCGCAGGGCAAGCAAGCGCCCCCAGACTTCATTCAGCAGGCGGCTAGCAGGGTAAGGCACATGGGGGTAAGGCAGATGGGGGCACGGGTCACAGCACCATGATGCAGTTCCAGCCTCACCTGCACATCCACTTCATCTCTGCATTCCCCTCATCCCAGCACCGCTCCATCTCTTCCCCCCCCCTGCTCTCCGCTCTCTTCTCTTGCCCCCATGACAGCTGCCAGCACTACAGCATCTCACTCTGGACCTGTGTGACGCGCTCACCTCCTCCTTCCACGTGCCACAAGAGGTAACCATGCCATGCCACCCACTGCCACTATTAGATGCCCTCACTCACCTCCTCCCTTTCACATCACACCCCCCTCCACCTACCCGGTAACTTACTGCATGTTGATTCACCTGTCCCAGCAGCAACGTGCGCTGACACCCATGTGCATGTGTGGTGGTGCATGCTGTGGGTGCAGGGTAGGGAGGAGATGCATGTGATGGGAGACAGCCTGCTGGTCGTGCAGCTGTTCAAGTGCCATGTGCTGCACTCCTCCCATGCGCACTCATTGACTGCCCTCACTCCCTCCGACTGCATGTCTCAGAAACGAACCCTGGGCACAAAGGATGTCCTCGTTATAGCCAGAACCACCAACGGCATTGCAACATATGTTGAAAACGTTTCTTAGGTTAGAAGCATTGATGGCAGGTATTGCTCCATAGATGACGTGGCTTGTATCAAAAGGGCATGAGATGAGACTGCTGTCATCTTGGCATGGCCTTGTGAAGCAAAGGATGCTGTTTCCTGTGCATTGCAAAGCTCGGCTTTCATTACCACAAGGTACAGCAGTGCACCCAAGGGCTGCAACGACATGCACCTAAGCTACCTCCTTAACCAACCATACCACCTGCGTATCATCTTGGTTCACTTCTCTCCCCCTCTGTCCACCCACAGCCCTGTTTGTCTTCTCCCTCTGTAGTTGCTCGACTACACTCCTGCAACCATGTCCCTCCACTCTTTCTCCTGTTCTGCCTCTCTAACCACCACCACCGCCATCCCCACCGCCCCTTCGAGCCAGCACCATCTTGAGCACGCATCTGGCAGCAACAGCCAGAGCGAGTGTTCTCAGGAACCCCCCATCGCCCTCCGCCACGCCTGCTGCACCAGCCACCACAGCCGCAGCAGCAGCAGCGACCACCTCACCTGTCCACTCTGCTGCCGCTGCTGCTGCATAAAGCCAGTGGTCGGGCAGCAGGGGCAACAAGGGTCGAAGGAGGTACGTGCAGAGGCAGTGGTGGAGTGCGGTGGAGCAGAGGAGAGCAGGGAGGAGAGCGAGGAGCGGAGATGGTGGTGCAGGGACTGGAAGGTGGTGGGCGTGTCCTCGTCTACCAGTGCCGGTGCCTCGTGGGTTGGGCCCCATATCACCGACAGGCTCTTACCCACATCCCTACTTGCACCCCTGCTGTCCTCGCCACTGCTGCTGCTGCTGCTGCTTCTGCCAGGGGTGCTTCTGCCTGCACGGTTGGTGCTGCCACCATGTGCATCGTGACTATCACCCTCTACAGAGGAGGACGAGGGGGAGGCGGTCCAGTGGTGGGGGGAGGGGAGTGTCAGGGAGGAGTCACTGGTGTGCACGCACTGCTTGATCCACTGCATCACACCCGTGGCATTGCTGCCATCCACCTGCCCTCCATACACCGACACCAGCAATGATGGCCTCGTGCCTCCCTGCTCGCCACTCCCCCCCTCACCGTCACTCTCCTCGTCATCCCAGTCATCCCCATCCCCATCCCCATCCCCATCCCCATCCCCATCCCCATCCCCATCCCCATCCCCATCCCCATCCCCATCCCCATCCCCATCCCCATCCCCATCCCCATCCCCATCACCATACTCCTCACCCTCCTCATCCAAACCGGTACCATACCTTGCCGCATCACCTATCACCACCTCTTCTCCATTCCCCCTCCCCTCCCCGTCACCCTGCCGTCTCACTCCCCTGCCCCTGCCCCGCCCCAGCGCAGGCGGATCATGAAGGCGCCAACACCAGTGGCACGGCCGGAGCGCTGGCACCAGAGAGCGCCCTGCCACCCCAGCATGTACGCGCACCACCGCACCTGCACCGTGCCGTCCACCCATGCCATTGACAACCGCCCCTCCCTCGCTGCTGCCACCACCGCCGCTGGCACAACCCCCTGCATGCCGTGCCCCCCCTGCCCCCCCTGCCCCTGCTGCTTCTGCTGCTGCTGTTGCTGCTGCTGGTGGTGGTGGTGCTGTTTGTCTGCTTCCGTGTTTGCACCACCAGCATCACCTGTCGCAGCAGCACATGTCAATGCAGTGGTGTGGTCGGCAGCACAGCGGGCAGCAGCGCCAAAAGCAGCACCCGCCGCACTGCCAGCCTCACCCGCGTGCACAGCATCCCTGCCATGGCTTGCAGCATCAACGCCACCATCCACATGACAAGCAGCAGCACCATCCTCACCACACTCATCTCCTCCATCAACATTGGCAGCGGCAGCGGCAGTGGCTATGGCGTGCTGTATTTCCAGGAAGGCAGCTCGGGCTCGGTGCAGAGCAGGGGATGGAGTGCCCACCACCACCACACAGTACCTCGTCCTCATGCGCACCTCCCTCTCCCTCGCCCTCACCCACCTCCTCCTTCCCTCCTCCCCTCCCTCCCCTCCCATTTCACCTTGCCCCCCATCATAATTCCTCCACGCACTGCCACCACTCCCAGGCTCACCAACACCACCACCGTGCTTTCCTCCCCGCCTGTGGGGTGGAGGGGCGAGCAGTGGAGAGAGGAAGTAGGGCGGAGGGAGCGAGGGGGCGGAGGGGTCACAGGCGAGGCGGGCAGCGGAGGAGGCGGAGAGGCGGGGGAGGAGGAAGGAGGAATGGTGGAGCAGGGCATGGCGCAGCACGGTGGAGTTGAGTGGGCCGGGCAGCACCAGTGGCACCACACCCGGGTCACGGTAGATGCCCAGCGCGGGCGGCTGTTGCACACGCCACCACCGCTGCCACGCCGCTGCATCGCTCTCTTCCCACGGCACCGCCACCCATGCCACGCGCCCTGCGCTCCTGCCCGCCCAGTAGCGCGCCTCCAGCGATGCGTGGCGGTGTGCGCGTGGCAGCAGCAGCACGAAGCGCACAGTGCGGTCGGGGGCGGTGCGGAAGAAGCGCATGGGCAGGTGCTGTAAGGGCACGACGGGGATGGGTGGTACGCGCAGCAGGGAGAGGAAGGCGAAGCGGCGCAGCTGGCGCAGGGAGGGCAGCGGCGGAGGGGGGGCTCTGAGATGGTGGTAGGGGGACGAGGGGGCGAGGTGCAGGAGGGAGAACAGCGAGTTTGAAGTGTCTATGCGGTGGGGGTGTGAAGGGTCTATGGCGTGAGACGGCGGTGAGGGGATGGAGGGCGATGGGGCGGGAGGGGATGCAGCAGAGGGCGCGTCGGCACTGCGCCCAGCACCACGTTCGCTGTGTGCTGGTACCCCCCCATCCCCCAGCACCTCCCCCCTTGCCACTAGGAACTCGCGGAGGCGAGTCATGGGGTCTGCAGGCCATGCACCCGCCCCACCCGCCTTGCCCCCACTGCCCCCACCATCCGCCTTGCCTTTGATGCCCCACGCGTGGCCTGATAACAACTTGCCTCCCCACTCGTCCCCTCTCTCGTCACCCTCCTCCTCCCCGTCCTCCTCCTCATCCTCGTGCACCTTCCGTGTGAGCCGTGGCAGCCATGGGGCACGGGGCGAGCGCGTGGAGAGGCGCAGCAGGCAGTCCACGTGGCGGCACCCGATGGGACGGCCCAGCACGACAGGCAGCCCTGCAGGGAAGCGCGTGTGTGCGGGCAGGCAGGTGCGCGGGGCGAGGCGCAGGGCAACGAGTGTGTCGTGCCCCGCGTCCACGTGGCCCAGGCGTGCAATGCCCTTGAGCTGCGCTCCCAGGGCGGACCATGCGGGCAGCAGTGCGAGGGAGCGCGGGGAGGAGAGGGAGAGCAGCAGCAGCAGCCAGGGGTGTGGGCTGCCGAAGACTGCGTCTGCTATGTTGCCCACTGTGATGGGCGTGGACTGCTGCAGCCACACGTGTGAGTCGGGCAGGGGTGGAGGTGATGGGGGTAGGTGAGGCGCGTGAGGGGAGGGCTGCAGCAGGGAGGAGAAGAGGCGGACAGCACAGGCGGTGGCGAGGGGAAGCGAGTGAGGCAGGCGGTGCGCAGCGGAGGGGGAACAGCAAATTCCAGGCAGGGACTGGTGGTGGGGGTGACTGGCACAGTGTGATGCCCTGCTCTGCCCCTGCTCCGCCATGCTGTCGCTGCCACTACGCTTGTTGCCCTCCGTGCTGCTCCCACTGTGGTTGCTGTGAGCAGCCAGCCACTCGCAGCACTCCCAGTCCATGCCCACTCCCACGCCCATGTCGGATTGTGCGCACGTCTCTCCTGCCCGCCCTCCACCGCCACCACCGCTCGTGACTGCCACATCATAAGCAGCATGCGCCACGTCATCCTCCCCCAGCAGGTCGTACAGGCGGCGCAGCCTGGGGCTGGACAGCACGCGGTATGCCTGCTCCACCTGCACCACCGAGGATAAAGAGGGAGAATGCGGGGGGAGGAAAGGGTGGATGCGCGACAGGGGGAAATAGAGTGAGTGCAGAACGAAGTACTGTGGGAGGGGCAAGGGGGGGGAAGAGAAAGGCACGCATGAGAGAGCGCAATGCGCGGCATGCAGGCACGAATCTGCCCAAAGCAGCGCCGCACCGCGTGCTGCAGGAACCACGCGCCGCGTTTGCTGCCCCCCACCTGCACGGCGCGCTGCCGACTGACTTGCGCCGCCTCTGTTGCTGAGGCGCGCCACCAGCTCGCAAGACACGTGTCGTGCGCGGATTGGACGTCCTCCCATGACGCGGTGCGCGCGAGCGCCAGAACGTCGTAGAGCGAGGCGGACGGGCCGAGCAGGGGATGCGCGGGACAGGGGGAGGCGGACGCGCGCGCCGAGGGGGGAAAGGCGGTTCCGTGGGGAGCGGAGGTCAGAGGCGGGGTAAGGGAGGAAGGGGACGAGATCGCGTGGCGGGACTGAGTCGGCGCATCAGTGTCCTCGAACGACGCGCTCCCGCCCCCATGAGCGGCGGGCGACGTGCATTCAGGGACGATGGCGCACGACCCCCGCCCATCGGCCTCCGCGGGCGTGGCATCAGCGAGGCATGCGAGAACGGGCAGCAGCGAGAGAGCGACGACGTGCGACAGCGCAGTAGCAACAAGCCGCGTGCGCGCGGGGCTCATTGTAAAGGGCGCTGGCGGCGCGGACGGAGAGAACAGAGGACGCGCGCATGGGGGCAATGTAGCACAGTACTGCCGTGTTTTCTCCTGGCTGCCTTGGTGCTAGGAACTCGCGAGGCGCGTTCTGCGATGAAAAGGGACGAGATCGCAGGTGATCTGCGGCTGTTCAGACAGTGAACATGCGAGTTGAATCAGATGAAAAAGATGGGCTTGCATTACACAAGACACCTCGATACATACGATTGATCACTATGCTTCAACAAAAAACAATTACAGCATACACGACCCTATGAAGCAATTGAAATCACCAACTATGTCCACAAGGGCCTAAACTGAGCAACTGACTTCCCTGCTAGCACACATCACGCAGCACATCACCCACCCCTTCCACTTGACACGACCGGTCCATCCAATGCAAATGCTAGAGTGGCATCCACATGCGTGCAGCCGCAGCTGACGAGCTTGCCTGACTCCATGGAGTAGAGCGCCACACGACACCCACCACTGCTGCTGCCACGCGCACTGCTCAGAGGCACCGGCACCACAACAAACCTGCCTCCATCCACAAATGCAGGGCGGAGTATCTGGCTGGAAGGGCGCGCTGATAACGAGGCGGCGTGTGTGGGTGGCCTGAGAGGGTGAAGAGAGGCGTGGCGGGCGAGCGAATGTCGTGCACGAGCAGAGCATGGTCGAAGCTGGACGACAGCACCACGTTGCTGCCCCTGCTAATGCTGCTGCTGGCGCTGCTGGTGGTGGTGGTGGTGTCGGTGCGGGTGGTGCAGGTGGCGGGTGAGGCGAGGGGAGTGCAGGGCTGCCAGTGCACGGTGTTGACCTGGGAGGAGTGGCAGTGGTGCAGGGCCACTGCCACGGGTGCTGCTGCCCTCGTGTCCACCACTGCTATGCTGCCATCCGCGCTGCTCCGTCCACCAACACATCACTGTCACTGTTGCCGCATGGAAAGGGGAGAGAGTGGGAAGGGACAAGGATGGGGAGAGAGGAGCGAGAAGGGAGGAAGAAGGGGTGAGCAGGAGCAGGGTAGATGAAACCAGCGCAGGAGAGTTAGGAGAGCATTGCAACGTGGGGTCTTGAAGGAGGGACACAGAACGTCGTCAAATCGGCTAATGCAGGGCAGGTGGCGTGAGGCAGTACCGGAGGTGCACGGCGCGCACAGGCACGTCGTGGTGGGTGAGCAGGCGGAGGAGGGAGAGGCGGAGGGCCCCACGCGGCAGAGGGACACGGTCTTGTCCTTGGACGCCGCCGCCACTACCAGTCCCCTCTCGTGCATGCCAAATATGCCCCCGTGCGTGCACGCCCGCCAGCTCACACACCACAAGTGGCACCGTGTCATTGGGAGTGCCTGAGGCCTGCACGCGGCGGCGGCGAGTGGAGGAGGCAGAAGGGGTGCAGTGGTGGCGGTTGATGTCCCACAGGGTGATGGTGCTGTCGTTGCTGCTCGACAGCAGTAGCGTCGCACCCACCTGGAGGACGGGCGAGCAGTGCACAAGGGAGCAGGGTGAGTGAGGGCATTGGGAGGGCAAGACATGAGAGAGCAGTGGTATGGGGGTTACAATGATAACAGGGAGTAGAGGAGGGGTGCAGCAATGAGGCACACCTGCTGTTGCTGTGAGAGGAATTGAACATGCGAGATCCATCCGTTTCCGCCCTTCCACGACAGCAGTGGTGCCACCTGCTGCTCCTCACCCTCCTCCGCCCCTCCCTCCATCGACCACCACACTCTTCCCTTGGCACCTCCCGCTCTCCCATGTCCCCTGCATCCCCCCGTCGCGCGCCTGTCGCACCGAACACTGCAATGCGGCCCTGATGCCCCCCTGCTGCCAGCAGGTAGCACCCACTGCCACCGCTGCTCCCGCTCCCACTCCCCTGTGCTCCCAATCCCATGGGCAGGACGTGCACGCTGTAGATCCTGCTCAGCCTGCCGTCCTGCATGTGCGCGCCCTGCACCCCCCCAGAGCCATCGATTCCGATGCGGGCGTCGCTTCCGCCGCGCTGCCATGCATGAGGTGGTGATGGGAGGGCTCCCTTCACAGCACCAACCTCGCCACTCACCCCATTCTCTCCTTCCCCTCCTGCCGCACTCACTGTTGCCTGCACGCAGGTTCCACTCTCCCCCGAGCTGCCATCTCCTTCGCCTGCGCGCCTCTCTTGCCCCTCGCCCTCTTGCGCCCCTGCACCCCCGAGCACACGGCACAGGTACTTCACCACGGACGAGTCACCATACGCCACGTCATCCTCCTCACTGCATTCCTCCTCATGACCCTCCACATGTTCCCCCTCTCCCAGTCCCTCCCCGCCCTCTGTCTGCTTCCCCGAATCGCCTCCTCCGCATCCCTCTCCGCCCTCCCCCTGCGGCTTCCCCCTCAGCCGCGAGCTGCGCCTTACCCCCGCGTACCCGACCACGTCCACGCCGCCACCCGCCCTGCCCGCCGCTTCTTGCTGCGCCCGCCGCCGCCGCCACTGCAGCTGCCTGGCTGGCCCGTGGGCGCGGGTGGCGGGGGGCAGTGCGGGACGAGCGGTTCGATGCCGAGGGAGAGGATGAGCTGCTGGTTGCGCCGTATGTTCGCCAACCGCCGCTTCTCGTACTCCGTCAATGGCCCCGCCTCCGCTGCACCTGCCTCGCTGCTCTCCTCGCCTCCCTCAACCTCCTCTTCCTCTTCCTCCTCCTCCTCCTCCTCCTCCTGCTCCTCCTCCTGCTCTTCGCTCATCCACGCTCGCCTGTGCACGCCCCGCCCTCTCATCCGTCGCTTCATGCACCTCCTCGCGAGTCGTCGCCTCCTCGTGCGCGCGTGCCGTCGTGTCACCGCACACATCACATGGCACCGGGTCACTCCCCACCGCTTTATGTGCGCGCGCGGTTTCCCCGCCCTGCACAGCCGCACGCGCACCACCACCCGCATCCCCGCCACAGCCAGCAGATCGCTCTCCGCCAGCTGCGTCGCTGCACCGTTCGTCTCTCTCGCTCCGTCCTCCGCCTTTCTCGCCTCTGCATTCCGCCCTCCACCACCGCTGCCAATGCCCTCGCCTCCTCCCTCGCACTGGCGGTCCTCTCTGTGCGAGTCTCCAGTTTCCCCGCGCGCGCTTCCCCCACACGCACCTCCGCCAAAAACTTCCTTCACCGTGTTCCCACACCCCTGCTCCCCAACGCTGAGCGCGACGGAAGTGGGCGCTACACTGGACGGCACAGCAGCAGCGGGCGACACGTGCGGCATGACGGGCTCGTGAGCGTGCGAGCAAACACCACGCCGCTGCAGCATGCCCTGCCTCTGCCCTTCTTCTCCTCTTGCGTGCGTCGCCCCCCCGCAATCCGTGGCGCCATCACCCCCACGTCAGCGTCTCCTCGCTGCGCCGCACCACTAACACGTACGGCCTCGCCTCTACGGCAAGTCCCCTCCATCTCCCCCCCTTGTAAGTCACACACCGCCCATCCGCACTGCTGCTGCTCTCCCCACCGCCGCTGTCGCCCACTTCCTCCGCGTGGCGGCTGCGCGTCCCCCAACTGCCTCACCCTCCTGTTGCGCGCGCTTGCGGTCGCCCCATCGCTCCGCGCACGCGCCTCTGCACGCGCCTGCGATCGTCCAATACGCGGGAAACATTTTTTCGATCCCATTCCCCGGACCCACGTCGCATTCGCCTTGTCTCGTCACAGCCTTCCTTGCTACAACGCAATTGGTTTGCTTGCCCGGCGCGTCGGGAGTGGGAGAGCTGTTGAGGGCGCGGTGGGTGGCAGCAGGAGTCTTAGTGCTTTTCGTGGCGGCCGACGGGCCACCAGTGGGCTCGACGGCCGTGTCCGGCCGCTCAGCTCGGCGGCGGCGCGCGCTTCTTGCCTGCCAGCATTCCGAAGAGCGACAGCTGTTTCAGCCGCTTGCACTGCGCATCCGTGCCAGCCCCGCCCGCCCGCTTCTTCGTACCACCCGCCGCAGATAATTGCCTCGCCGCCATTGCGAGGTACGCGGCGTCTGTCACGGTTTAGAATTGTAGAGCTGAGGTAGAAGGGGATGATCGGATGAGATGAGGGGGACGAGAGCCAAATGTGCCTCCCAGCCATCTGCTGTTTGAATCTTCAAAATTTGCATACGCGTTGTTGGAAAGCCTCGTTACTGTTGTTTCCCAGTCAAGCGAGAGAAGCGAGAATGATACGCTGCGATGGAAGGCGATATGATTTTTTTGGCCGAAGCAGGTGGAACACCCACCACCCACATCTGCCGAACAATAGTCAGTGCTCGCCATACCCCGGACAAAAAGCAGCAAGGCACAGCAGCATCGCAGCACATCTCGCGTGATACGCGACGCGACCCACCAAGAGTAAACTGTAGACTTGGCTTTCCCAACGGCTAGCCTTCCATCTTACGGCCCGTTTCTATTCAAGCGGCAGGCGGCGACTGGTGTAGCTTCCGCAGGGAGCGCGCGCTGTCAGTAGTGCTGTGCGGGTGGCCGCTGCCACACGTGGCGGCCGATGGGCAACAGCCACAGCACCGCGCACTCGCCCCATGCCCACGGCAGAGAGCGCGGCGGCAGAAACTCCGCCGCTAATGCTGCCGCCGCAGACGCTGGCAGCGCAGACGCAGGCCGCACGAGCGCGGCGGAAGAACCTCCCGCCGCAGCGGTACCCGCGGGATCGCCCCCAGCAGGCAGCGAGTCAGCGGCAAGGCAGCGGGCGAGCGGCGCAGCTGAGGGGCAGCGGCGGGGCTGTCGTCGCTGACGGCGGGGCTTCTCTCCTCCGCGCGCGAGCACAGAGCCGCCTCGCGGGGGCGCGGATGGCGCACGCATGGCGGCACGTTGGCTTTAGGCGCCGCGCAGGCCAACGGCGCAGACGCGCAGGTACCGCGATGAGCGTGCTGCCTTGGTCCGTTCAACCGCTGGCGCAGTGGTGACGCCGCATCGCGTTCCGCGCTCGCCCTCCTCCCTTCCCTCCCTACCCCTTCGGTACTTTGCGGACCTTCGCTCAGTTTGTACCCGTGGCCCCCTTCCCCCCCTCTCGGCCCACCTCCCTGTTGTGCGCAGGTGCGCGCACCCCTGCCACCCGCCAGCCTTCCGCTGGCACTGCGGGCAGGGGAAGCGCGGGGAGACGGGGGGCAGCAGGGGCGGGCGCAGGGGCTGGCGGCACTGGGCGGTCCACCACGGCGGCCGCTGCAGCGGCGGCGGCAGCAGCTGTGGCGGCAGCGACGGCAGTGGATGGGGAAGCGGAGGCAGGGGCTGCGGGCAGTGGCACTGGCGCTACTGCTGCTGCTGGCCGTGCGGTGGCAACAGGGGGAGCAGCAGGCGAGGCAGGCGGAGGCGGGGGTGGAGGGGGAGGAAGGGGCGGGGAGGCGTTGGAAAGGGGGACGGGCGGAGGGGAAGGGGAGGCGAGCAGGCAGCTATTCAAGAACAGGTACGGAAAGTGGGTTGGTTGGGGCAAGGGATAGGCTTCGACGGTGGCAGTACACGAGCTCATAAATTCCCATTCCTTTCCCACTTACTCTTCTCCGTTTCCCTCTTCGCCCGCCCTTCCCCCTTTCACCTTTACAACTTCCTGTTCCTTCAGTAGGCCCTATCTTTCCATTCTTGTCAACCGCTCCCTTCCTTGTGTGTTCTCCCTTGCCCGCACCGAGCTCACCCCCCTGGGCGCGGCTTACTGCAGCGCACGCAGACGGTGCGCAGCCTGGTGAACCTGCGCAAGCACTCCGTGCATCTGCTGCCCGTGCCACGCCACCTTCACGCGGCTCCGGGGAGCAAGGAGGGCAGGGAGGGTGCACCCGTACGTGTACGGGCTGTCGTTCATCGCTGACTGCTCCGTGCCATGCAAGTAAGACCACACCCGCGCCATTTAACACCCCCACGCCATGCCCTATTGCACCGTGTTTGCTCGTCCCTCGCCACCGGTTGGCAGCAAGCAGCGGCTGGTGTGGCGACCGCTGAACCACTCTCTGTTTCCGTGGCCGTGAATGACCGTCTCATCCGCACCTGCCTGCCTCACTCCTCTCCATCCTCCCCCACATGCTGCTCGGCGCGCCTCCCATGCTCCGCCCATGCAGTGTGACGGTGCATGTCATGGCGTATGAGAAGGACAGGCACAGAAAAGACAAGCCGCCCAGGTGGGTGGGTGCGTGGGTGCTGCTGAGGCATGCTGTGCTGACGGGTGGCAGTGTGGTAGGTCAGTAGAGGTGGGCTGGTAGGTGGCATTCCTGTAGCACATGAAGCTCGGTGCATAGTAGAGCAGAAGACTGTTCAGTTGGTGCGTAAGAATTGCGGATTTAGCTTTGAATTAGTGTGGCACGTCGTTGCATGTGTGCTGTTGCCCATGTGCCTTTCCATGTCCGTCACCCCTTTGCCTTTGCATGCTACTCCCACGACTCGCAGCCTGCATCAAGTGCCCTCATATCTCCACACTCTCTTTTTCACTCCACATGCATACCCCTGCTCAACCTCCCCCCACCCGTCTCTCCACCCCCCCCACCCCCCCAGGCTGAAGTCGAAGGTGACGCAGCGCGAGGCGAGTGCAGCGGGCGTGGTGGCGGGGCTGGAGCAGACCTTCTCGCTGCCGCCCTCCTGCCTGCTCGCCTTCGATGGCTTCCAGGTCGCTCCCTCTTGCTGCACCCGCATGTGCCTCCCAGGGAGGAGACAGTGCTAGGGAGAGTGTAAGGGAGCCATGAGGTTGAAGGAGCGCTGAAGGAAAATGGACTAGGGAGAAAATGGGATGTCGAGTTTGGGTACCTGTGTGAGATTGAAGGTGTGCTGTGCACCATGGTGAGCTTGCAGGACTGCACCTCGGGTGCACACGCCTGTCTATGCGCCTGCCATTCACCTTTGTCGTCCTCGTTTGTGTGTGAGGGGGGAAAGGAGGGAGGGGGGGGGGGGGGGGAGGAGGGGGATTCGTGCGTGCGTGTGTGTGTGTGCGCGCGCGCGTGTGTGTTTGTGGGTGTGTGTGAGCGTGCATGGGCATGCCCTATCACAGGACGCACAGCTGACGTCAACCAAGACGTCACCGTCGCACACATACCCGGTTGTCATCCGCATCCAGACAGCGCTGGTAAACCTTAATACTCATCACATGCCTTGCTGCACTTAATGTTGCTTTCACCTGTGGTCAACCTTCAAGTGCATTCTCATCTGCTCCCACTATAAGCCTCTGAGGCGAGGCACGGCAATCATGCTGCATGCACGTGTGCCTGTCTGTGTCTCTTCCAGCCTGCAGGTCGGTCGCATGACCCAGCAGCGCGGGCGCAGCAGCAGACGCACACCACCTATGCCACGCTCGTCAAGCAGGTCCTCCCACGCCCTCTCCCCTCGCTCACTCACTGTGCTCTGCTCCGCCTTTCCTTCTGCCTTGCCCTGCTTGTGCCCCGCTTGGGATTCACTCCGCATCTCCCACTGATGTGTCCGCTCTCCACCTCTTAGTAGCCACATCTCAACCCGTCACTTGCATGCCCTGCCGTGTCTTCCCCCATCTGTGCGTGCGTGTGGGGCAGGCGGACAGCACGTACGGTGTGCAGGTGTTGAAGCAGGTGCTGTGGGTGGGCGGGTGCTCGTACGTGCTGCATGAGATCTTTGGCATCGACGGCCCTGCCTCCTCGCCTGCCCCCCTGCATGCCGCACCTGGGGACGCCGCCGATCCCAATGGGGGGGGAGCCAATGTGGTGCGTGGGGGCGGATGGGGTGCGTGGGGGCGGATGGGGTGTGTGGGGGCGGATGGGGTGTGTGGGGGCGGATGGGGTGCGTGGGGGCGGATGGGGTGTGTGGGGGCGGATGGGGTGTGTGGGGGCGGATGGTGGATGTGGATGGTGGGGCTCCTGAGTAGAAAAAAGAGCCAAATTAGCATGCGCAGTGGCAGGAGCAGGGCTGGATGCTGTATCTGGCAGCGAGCATGAATGGATATGCTCAAGCACGTGCACTTCACATTTATTATGCTCCCGTCCTTGCTGTGTCACCTTGGCCTCCTTTCCTGCTCTCATGCCTCACCACGTCTCTCCCTCCCCACTCCTTCCTCTTCCCTCTGTGCTCTCCTTCTCTCCTCTTCTCCCTCTTTCCCACCCTCTTTCTCGCCCTGCCCTGCCCGCCTCCTCCACATGTGTGCAACTCCGCCCTGATACAGGAGTGTGTGGTGTGTCTGGAGGACCCGCGAGACACGCTTGTGCTGCCATGCCGCCACCTCTGCCTCTGCCTGCACTGTGCCAAGGCTCTCCGCTTCCAGTCCAACAAGTGCCCCATATGGTACAACTGTCCTTGCCTCAGGCTATAGTGTCCCACTGTTCTTATTGCCCGTGCCATCGATCGCTTTGTCGTTGCTCCCTTGCCTTGCTGCTCGTTGTGGTTCTTCTGCCCCTCTGCATGTGCCCTGCCCCACATCACTCTCTGGCTGCTGCGTGCCGCTGTGCCCTGTGCGCCCCATGCCAGTCGCAGCGTCGTGCAGTCCCTGCTGCAAATCAAGCTCTCAGCCCCACGCGACGCCACACTGGGGGAGGCTGCTGCTGCCACTCCTGCTGCCACTGCTACTGCCAGTGGTAGTGATGCTGCTGTTGCTGCCTCTGATTCTGGTGTTGGTGATGGTGCTGGTAGCAGTTCTGGTGCTGCTGGTGCTGATGCTGATGGTGGCCATGCTGCTGCTGTCGCTGCTGCTGACAGTGCGACTGTCAGCTCTCTCAACAATGAGTTAGAAGCAGGAGTTCGGCAGGGGCAGGAGGAGCAAAAGGGCAAGAGGGCAGAACAAGGAATGGAAGGGAGGAAAGTGCATGGGGATAGGGAGGTGCAAGATGGTAGGGAAGACGAGGGGCAAGGGGTGGGGGAGAGAGATGGGGTGAGGGAGGCAGGGAGCAGTTGTACAGGTGGCGCGGGGGAGAGCATCACATCTGGTGAGGGTAATGGTGTGGCTGAAGTTGGAGTGGAAAGGATGAGAGCAGATGGACAGGTGGAAAAGGGGAGCAGAGGAGGCGGAGAAGCAGGTGCAGACTACACGGTAGACGGTGCAGAAAAGAGGGTTTCCAGGAGCGGCAGTAGGGAAGGTGTGGAGGGAGGAGTAGACCGAAGAGAGATGACAATCGAAGAGGCGAGCCAAGGAGCGGGAGGAGAGGAGTTGCATGGAAAGGAGGAAGAGATGGTGCAAGTGGAAAGCGGGACTGGCAGTGGGGAGTTGCATGCAGGGCAGCAAGAAGAGGTAGAAGTGGCCAACGAGGCCCGGGTTGAGGCCGGATGCTAGTGTGCTACAGCCCTTGCCCTCAACTTGCACTAATTATTGTCCCCAATCAAGATTGGCTTGCAGTGGGCTGTATAATGTTAACACAGTTGCCACATGATTGGGTATGTGAGAACAGTTTCAGTTCTAGCACTAGGTGGTATGCAATGCACACTAAAAGCAGCGGCCTGGTTGCTCTATCCCGACCCGAATTGGCAAATGATAATGCTGGTTGCATACTAGGGGTGTGTACGAGGTTCTTGCTGCTAGTGTATTCGATTCCGAAGTCCAGCCAGTCTAGGAACCCGTGCCAGAGCTTGGACTTGGCAAACTACTCAAAGTCACACTACACTGGTTCGTTCGATTGTTCCTTTTTGTCTCATAATAAAAGCCTGACGCACAAGGTAACAGCGACAACGGGCAACCTTTATCATATGCAGTAAGCTGTACTCTCGTGTGTGTGAGGCGTGGCAGCAGCTACTGGATGGAGAGCACCTCGATGTCAAAGACAAGCGTGGAGTTGGGCATGATGCCCCATGCGGGGAAGCCGCCAGCCCCGTACGCATAGTCAGGCGTGCACTGCACGCACGTGGGGCAGGGGCACATGGGGGGACATGCACAACACTCATGACCCAAGCCTGGGAGGGTATCCTCAAGGAATAGCCTGGTAAATAGGAACGCACAGGTGTGAGCAGGGGAGGTAAAACCCATTGAGAGAGACGGTAAACAGATACTTGGAAGCAAAAACGAGTAGGCATCAGGTGTGTAGGTAAGGACGACTTTGTTCAAAATAAGGGGGAACGGAAGACGGGGAGGAGAATAAGGGAGGAGAGTGGAGAGGGAAAAGGAAGTGGGAGAGATAAGGAGAGGGCGGCATACAGTGATGCGAGCTTGCTCGCCCAGCTGCATGTTGATGACACTCTCGTCCCACCCTGGCACAGGGGACGGGCATGCGGACGCGCAGGGGGCAGAGGGCACACAGGAGGACGCGGCTGAAGGAGGCTGATGACACGGACGGGTCAAAGGAATGGCAGGCGGGACGGAGCACGGGTGGAGAAGTGCAGGCAACGAGGGGGAGTGGAGGGCGTGCAGGAATGAGTGGTGTGCGTGCATGTGCATGTGTGTACGTGCGTGCATGGCAGCAGCGGCGCTCACCCTTGATGACGTTGCCCAGCCCCACTTGGAAGGTGAACGGCTGCTGCCCCGGGTCCTTGGTGCTGCCGAGCGCCATGCACCGCCGCACGTCATGCACCGCCGCACGTCATGCACCGCCGCGGGCGGATGGCGCGCGCACAGCCAGCGACACGGGCGTGCGGGCGGGTAGAGGGGAACGCGAGGGGGGGAGAATGTGCAGAAGGGGATGGAAGAGAGGCAGAGGCACGGAGGTGTGAGTATGTGAGTGGAGTGAAGAGCAGCACACGGCACTGTCAAAAGAAGGGCGCAGGATAAGAGCAACCTATACACCTCGCAAGCAGCAAGTCAAAGCATGCGCGGAGATCAGTCCCCACCGCGGGCCCCCCACGTCTCGCCCCCGCGTACCTCCAAAACTTCTGACTCAGATCGCGGTTCTTCCCTGCCGTACCGGCACCCCCCCGCGCGTCGCACGAGGGGACGCGGCGAATACGCGAAAACGAGAGGGCGCAAGGGAAGGCGTTAGCACGCGTGGCGGCGGAGGGTGCGGATCGCACGTGGACGACGGACGGGAATCGGGAGCCATGAAGAAGATCGCAGAGAAGGGAAAGGGCAGTACGAAAAAAAGGGAATTCGCGGGAAAAAAAAAAAAGAAAAAAAGAAAGAAACAAATCGGTGCGGAAGCAATCAGGAGCAGCATCAGGAGAGGCGGGTGCGGAAATGTGGACTCGATGCGACGTGACATAACGAGGCCAGCGCGTCGCGGAACGGCGCGCAGCGGCAACTAGCGGCTCACCGTAACCGGTGCAGTGCACGGTGACGGTCTGCCCCTTCCTCGGCGTGGGCCCCGATCCCGCGGCGAGCAGCTGCTTCTCGAACCCCATCGTCGCTAATAACGCCGCCGTCGCTGCTCTCGTCGTCGTGCTGGCGCGCGCCGCTGGGCAAGGCACGGTGGCAGAGGCGGAGCGAGAAGTGACGAAGCAGATTGGTGAGTGAGTAGACTGGGTGGAATGGGAGTGGCAATTTGTGGTGGGTTGTGTTGTGTAGTTCAGGCAGGGGTGGATGGAGCAGCCAGGGACAGAGCACTTTGTACGCTATTTTGGCACACCAGTGTTCCCTTCATGAGTAAGTTGACCCAATTATTAAACCTGGCATATGATCATGTAATGGTTCTACAATCGCTTCCCTTAGTAGCGCCATCCGCTCCCTGTCAACACGACGGCCGCGCCACTACGCTAGCATCCACAAGTAATCTATACCTTCACTGGTCGCTACCGATTACGCGTGCAGCCGCCTTTTTCCTTGCGCTTTACTACTGCTCTCCTCCTACCGCCCAAGTAATCGCATCCTCCTCGCCTTGCCACCGTTAGGCCTCGCATCGCTGCCTGCCCTGGGCCAGCTGGACCTTTCCAGGAGCAAGCGATGCGTCGGGCAGTCTTGTCATTATGCGCACCTATAATGGGCGTACCATGCAGAGTTCAGACGCTCAGATCTTGCGAAACACACGGAACAAGATGGAAACACTTGTTGTGGATGTGGGAAGTAGATTAATCTGGTGGACTAGCAAAAAAGAAGAGGCATCCAATCCAGTGGACCAATCAAAGCGATGCGTCGGGGGTCTCGACAGTACGCACACCTATAATGGACGTACCACGCAGAGTTCAGACGCTCAAATCTTAAGAACCACATAGAACGAAATGGAAACACTTGTTGCAGATGTGGGAAGTACACTAATCTGGTGGACTAGCAAAAAAAAGAGGCATCCAATGCAGTGGACCAGTCAAAGTGATGCGTCAAGGGGTCTGGTCAGTATGCGCACCTATAATGGGCGTACCACGCAGAGTTCAGGCGCTCAAATCTTGAGAACCACATGGAACTAAATGGAAACACTTATTCTGGATATGGGAAGTAGACTAATCTGGTGGACTAGGAAAAAAAAAGAGGCATCAAATGTAGTGGACCAGTCAAAGCGGTGCGTCGGGGGTCTGGTCAGTATACGCACCTGTAGTGCAGGAAGTGCAGCGGGCGCTTTTCATTCGCGAACGCCGATGACCGATGATGCTCGCAACCCTCCCACGTCCTTGATGGCTTTGTAATAGGCCCGGAAATGCGCAGCCACGTGGCCCAGCGGAAGAAAAACGCTCGGAACGAGCACTTCCACCCCCAAAACGCGGAAGGATCCGCATATGTGCAGGAAGTGCAGCGGGCGCTCTTTATTCGCGAGCGCCGATGACCGATGATGCTCGCAACCTTCCTATGCCCTTACTGGCTTTGTAATATGCTAGGCAAGGGCAGCTACATGACCTGGGGGAAGAAAAACGCTAGGAACAAATGCTTCCACCCCCAAAACGCGGAAGGATCCGCACATGTGCAGGAAGTGCAGCGGGTGCTCTTCATTCGCGAGCGCCGATGACCGATGATGCTCGCAGCCCTCCCACGCCCTTGCTGGCTTGGTAATAGGACCAGACAAGCGCAGCCACATGACCCGGCGGAAGAAAAACGCTTGGAACGAGCGCTTCCACCCCCAATACGCGAACGGATCCGCAAATGTGCCGGAAGTTCAGCGCGCGCTCTTCATTCGCGAGCGCCGATGACCGATGATGCTCGCAACCCTCCCACGCCCTTGCTGGCTTGGCATTGGCCCAGACAAGCGCAGCGACGTGACCCAGCGGAAGAAAAACGCTCGGAACGAGCACTTCCACCCCCAAAACGCGGAAGGATCCGCACATGTGTAGGAAGTGCAGCGGGCGCTCTTCATTCGCGATCGCCGATGACCGATTGTCAGAAGAACTGAACGAGGAATGAATGAACTAGCAGTGAAATGAGTACAAGTACCTAACCCTAGAATTGTGTACCCCCTATAGGCTAACCCACTGTAGCCTAAACAAGCACAACACATATAATGTTTGACACACCCCCATAGGCAAACTGGGGGAGAACAAGGGGTCACAAGACCAGTCAAAGCAAAGCAAAACAAGCTCAGGGTGGATCTCAAGGATACCACACAAATTCCGAGCACAAGCAAGTGGTCACAAGACCAGTTCACATGCAGGATGATAATATAACAAGAGATACAGTGATCACAACCTAGCAAAAGTAAACATGCAGGCACATATATAAGATCACAGTACAAGCAGAGTCAAGAAGTAAGTAAGTGAGGTCCAGCGGACACAAGGCCTAGAAGAGTACAGAAACGCTGATGGTCACAAGGCTGAAGCGCCTTGGTGAACACATCAGCAAGGTTGGCCTCAGTGGCCACGTAACGCAGACGTAGCTGACCACGCTGCTGCAGCTCTCGAGCAAGGAAGTACCGCAGGGCAATGTGCTTCGTTCTGTGCTCCAGTCTGTGCTCCTCACACAAGGCAATGGCAGCCTGGTTGTCGACGTACAGCACTGGAGGAGAACGAGGCCGCTCTCCCAGGTCGGTCAGCAGGTAGGTCAGCCAGCGTAGCTCCTGGGCAGCCATGGCTGTGGCGTAGATCTCAGCCTCACAACTGGAGCTGAGAACAGAAGAAGAGCGTGTAGAACACCAAGAAACTGAGCCGGAGCCAAGGCTGAAGGTGTAACCCTGGGACGACCGCTGAGTAGCCTGGTCGCCCGCTCAGTGGCAAAGACCAAGTCGTCGACGTACACGAGGATGTAGAACGGCAGCAGCGAGGTGTCTGTGCGTAGAAACAGTGACGGGTCAGCAGTAGAGGGAGCGAACCCAAGAGCCGCAAGTGTCGTCCTCAGTGTGTCGTGCCACTCACGCGGTGCCTGGCGGAGACCGTAGACCGGCCGCTGGAGCCTCCACTGGATACAGGAGGAACCGACCCAGTGAAGCCAGGAGGGCGGCGCAGCCAGATCTCCTCGTGCAGGCTGCCCTGCAAGAAAGCAGTGCTGAAGTCAAGTGAGTGAAGCTCGTAGTCGTGCTGAGCGGCTATGTGCAGCAGCACCCGAAGAGTGGTCATATTCGGGGTGGGGGAGAAGGTCTGGAAGAAGTCAACTCCCTCTCGCTGACTGAAGCCTCGAGCCACGTAGCGCGCCTTGAAGACAGGAGGAGAACCCGGTGGCCGCTTCACCCTGAAAATCCACATGCCACTGACGATGTTTGCCCCAGGTGGGGGAACCTCGTCGACGTAGGTGCCAAGAGAGTGAGGGGGGATGGAAGTGAGGGGAAATGAAGTGAGGGGGGATTTCCTCTCACTCCATTCCCCCTCACTCACAGAAGTGGGGGGAAAAAAACAAGTTAGGGGAAATATAAGTGAGGGGAAATGTAGTGAGGGGGAAGGGAGTGAGGGGGAATGGAAGTGAGGGGAAACAAAGTGAGGGGGACAGGGATGAGGAGGGATGGAAGTGAGGGGAAATTGAGTGAGGGGAAATACAAGTGAGGGGGGATGGAAGTGAGGGGAAATTGAGTGAGGGGAAATACAAGTGAGGGGAAATGAAGTGAGGAGGAAGAGAGTGAGGGGGATGGAAGTGAGGGAAACGAAGTTAGGGGGATTTCCTCTCACTCCATTCTTCCTCACTCACAGAAGTGGGGGGAAAACGAGTGAGGGGAAATATAAGTGAGGGGAAATGTAGTGAGGGGGAAGGGAGTGAGGGGGAATGGAAGTGAGGGGAAACAAAGTGAGGGGGACAGGGATGAGGAGGGATGGAAGTGAGGGGAAATTGAGTGAGGGGAAATACAAGTGAGGGGATGGAAGTGAGGGGAAATTGAGTGAGGGGAAATACAAGTGAGGGGAAATGAAGTGAGGGGGAAGAGAGTGAGGGGGATGGAAGCGAGGGGAAATGAAGTGAGGGAGGACTTCCTCTCACTCCATTCCCCCTCACTCACAGAAGTGGGGGGAAAACGAGTGAGGGGAAATATAAGTGAGGGGAAATGTAGTGAGGGGGAAGGGAGTGAGGGGGAATGGAAGTGAGGGGAAACAAAGTGAGGGGGACAGGGATGAGGAGGGATGGAAGTGAGGGGAAATTGAGTGAGGGGAAATACAAGTGAGGGAGGATGGGAGTGAGGGGAAATTGAGTGAGGGGAAATACAAGTGAGGGGAAATGAAGTGAGAGGGAAGAGAGTGAGGGGGATGGAAGTGAGGGGAAACGAAGTTAGGGGGGATTTCCTCTCACTCCATTCTTCCTCACTCACAGAAGTGGGGGGAAAACGAGTGAGGGGAAATATAAGTGAGGGGAAATGTAGTGAGGGGGAAGGGAGTGAGGGGGAATGGAAGTGAGGGGAAACAAAGTGAGGGGGACAGGGATGAGGAGGGATGGAAGTGAGGGGAAATTGAGTGAGGGGAAATACAAGTGAGGGGATGGAAGTGAGGGGAAATTGAGTGAGGGGAAATACAAGTGAGGGGAAATGAAGTGAGGGGGAAGAGAGTGAGGGGGGATGGAAGTGAGGGGAAATGAAGTGAGGGGGTGAGGACTTCCTCTCACTCCATTCCCCCTCACTCACAGAAGTGGGGGGAAAACGAGTGAGGGGAAATATAAGTGAGGGGAAATGTAGTGAGGGGGAAGGGAGTGAGGGGGAATGGAAGTGAGGGGAAACAAAGTAAGGGGACAGGGATGAGGAGGGATGGAAGTGAGGGGAAATTGAGTGAGGGGAAATACAAGTGAGGGAGGATGGGAGTGAGGGGAAATTGAGTGAGGGGAAATACAAGTGAGGGGAAATGAAGTGAGAGGGAAGAGAGTGAGGGGGATGGAAGTGAGGGGAAACGAAGTTAGGGGGGATTTCCTCTCACTCCATTCTTCCTCACTCACAGAAGTGGGGGGAAAACGAGTGAGGGGAAATATAAGTGAGGGGAAATGTAGTGAGGGGGAAGGGAGTGAGGGGGAATGGAAGTGAGGGGAAACAAAGTGAGGGGGACAGGGATGAGGAGGGATGGAAGTGAGGGGAAATTGAGTGAGG